ACACAATTACCAGTTGAAATAGCGCAATGCTGAACAGCAAAAATGGCCTCGTCAGGAAGGGGGGTAAATCCTCTGGAGGGCAAGTGGTTAATTCATAACAGCTTTGTTGACATTGTGATTGCTATCACATGATCCCCCCCCCCACCGCTCAAAGCAGCTTGTAATATGTACATGATCCAGCTTGCCTGTGCAGTACTGTGACTAAATGGTTAGCACTTCCGCCTGGCAGTACTAGGGTTATTGGTTCGAATCCCAGCCATGGCACCACCTGCCTGGAGTTTGCATGCTCTCCCTGTACCTGAATGGGTTTCCCCCGGGTACTCTAGTTTCCTCCCACACTCCAAAGACATGCTTTTAGGTTAATTGGTTCCTGTCTAAATTGGCCCTAGTATGTATGTATGACTGTGAGTTAGGAACCTTAGATTGTACACTCCTTGGAGGTTAAGGACTGATGTGAATGTACATATATATGCATGTATAGTACTGGGTAAATTGACGGCGCTAAACAAATACCTGTAATAAAATAATAGCTTTGTTGACGTTGTGATTACAATCACATGATCTCCCGCCACTCAAAGCGGCTGGATATATGTACGCGATCCAGCCTTCCCGTGCCGCCTGCAATAAATGTAGTGTGGGTGGGCAGCAGCCGGTTACTTACAAAGGGCCTGTACACACAGGCATGTAAATATTTGTATTTCTGGGCTGTCTGTCACGCACTGCTCTTTAAAGGTCTATCCATAGATTTTCAATTATGTTGAGGTCAAACCTTCTTGAATTGTGAAGGCCATGGCAAATTTGTAGAAGCTAACAATGTGTTTTGGATGAGGTGTGAAAAGAAAAAAAATAAAATCTGTTACTGGTCTGTATTTGACATGCATACATGTAAACATATGCAAAAATCACGCCTCACAATATATGAACTGTACTCAAAATTTTTGGGCAGGAACTTTTCGCCAAGAAGATAGTGTCTTCTTGTGTAAGGACCCTTCTACCTGCAGTTTTACAGGGTCTCCTTTAAGAGCAGTACTTTTTGTCCCAGAATTTTTTTTTTTTTACACAAAAAACAAGTAAGCCAACAGTACAGACGTTTGTGTTATCACACTGGTAAATTACAGGGTGTCGCCAGCAAATATTAGATCAAATGGGGGTATATGTATGTATTCTGTCGCAGTGAGTTAGTTTATTTACCGTATTTCAGGTACCGTCAGTTTACACATATATACATTCACATCTGTTCCTCCCTTAGACTGTTCACATATGCGCGCAAAAGTATGTGTTCCCACAGCACACAAAAAACATGTCCCCGTATTTTTCGCCTCATAAGACGCACCTAGGTTTTAGAGGAGAAAAATAAAAATATTCTGAACCAATGGACTGCAGACCGTACAGGGGATGACCAGAGTCTGCGGACACAGTACAGGGGATGACCAGAGTCTGCGGACACAGTACAGGGGATGACACCAAAGACTGCGGACACAGTACAGGGGATGACCAGAGACTGCGGACTTTTGGGGAGGGAGGGGGAAACGGGTACCTGAATTTGACAGGTACCCACTCCCACTTCCGCAGAGTTGTCCTTCCTTCTTCCCGCGGCGGCTTCTGTGACAGCCGGGTGCCCACTGTGCATGCGCGAGAAGCGCTGCGCTTTGTGAATGGCCCGGAGCCTTCTGGGACCTGTCATGCGCAGTGGGCACCCGGCTGTGACAGAAGCCGTCGCGGGAAGACTGCAGCGCTGGAGCGAGGAACAGGTAAGGTCCTGCAGGAGAGAAGAGCTGAGCGGCCGGCCCGATATTCTGACATGGTGGCGGCAGAAATACCGGACCGGCTGCTTTACATTCGCTCCATAAGACGCACTGACATTTTCCCCCCTTTTTTGGGGGGGAAAAAGTGCGTCTTATAGAGCGAAAATTACGGTAATTTACACATAGTGACCTTTTTTTTTTTTTTTTTTTTTTTTTTTTTTTTTAAGCCTCATGTTTGCGAAATCTGCGCACATTATTCCTTGGTGATTGCACAGTAAGTGAAGGGATGATATTCTAATCCCTCCACTTTTTCCTGACTGTCTCCATGTTTCACTTTATTTTTGATTCAAGATGAACTAACAGTCTTTTAACTATATATTCTGATATAATTAACCACTTCAAGTCTGGACACTTTCACCCCCTTCCTGTCCAGGCCAATTTTCCACTTTCAGGGCTATCACACTTTGAATGACAATTGCGCGGTCATGCAACACTGTACCCATATTAATTTTTTTAGCATTTTCTTGAAACAGATAAAACTTTATTTTGGTGGTATTTGTTCACCACTGGGATTTTTATTTTTTATATATATTTGCTATATAACTGAAAGTCCAAACCTTTTGTGGAAAAAAGTGCTTCTTGTAAAATTTTGCAAATCTTTTCATAAATCTTTGCCAAAATGTATTCCGTTATCCTTTTTAGTAAGAAAAATAACCCAAATTAGTTTATAATCAAGTTATTTTTCAAAATTTTTTTACATTTTTATTTTTTTTATTTTTTTTTTTTACATACTGTCACCCTAGCAGTACAGTGTCACCATAGTAACACTGACTTGTGTGATGAAGCAATCATTTCTCCTTCTCTCTGGCTGCATTTTTGCAGCCATTGAGAAATACTGTGAGCTGTGATTTGGTCACAGCTTGTCACTTGGTACAAGGCTGTTGTGAATAGCCTTGTACCATGTGACTTTTGTGATCATTCACAGATTTCACTAGTAGTAAGCAATGATGTTAGAATTGGATGACATCATCCCAGGGAGCACGCACAGGCAGGGAAGTGGGAGGACGTTTATAAATGACCACCTGCTCCTGCACTGCTCCCGTCCGGCTGTTTATGTACTTGGGCCGGACTAAGTGGTTAACCGCATGCCGCCCAGCCACTGTACATATACGGCGGCAGGGCGGCACTCACAGGCAAAACCAATTTTTAAGACGTGTGTTTTGTAAACAAATAGGGGGCGCGCCGCCGCCCTATTTGACCCGCGGTTCTCTGCCGCAGATGTGAGTCGCCGGGTCACAGCCGCTCCTTAGCGACTATGTCCCGGCGATCGGCGGCAAACAGTGACAGAGAGCACAGCTGCAGTAGCTGTGCTGTCTGTCACTTCCCTGACAGCTCAAGGATGAGCTGATCGAGAGAGAACAGTTTTTCTTTCTCGATCAGCCTTGTCCCGCCTAGCACACTCCCCCGCCCCCTAGTAAAACACTCCCCTCACTCCTATAACCCTTCCCTGCTGCTAAATAAAGTTAACCCCTTCCTCCCCATTGCCATTAGTACAGTGTCAGTTTTTTTTTTTTTTTGCACTGATCACTGTATTAGTGTTTTTGGGGATGTCAGTGACCCCAAGTCAGTTCCCCCCAATGTCAAAATGTCCGCAGTCCCACCATAAGTCACTGGTCGCTGCCATAAGTCCCTGATCACCGCCATAAGTCCCTGATCGCCGCCATTATCAGTATAAAAAAACCCCTAAAAATCCCAGTATCTTTCCCGCCATTTGTTAACGCTATAACTTTCACGTAAACCAATTAATTTACACGTATTGGGTTGTGTTTTTTTTTTTTTTTTTTTTTTTAGCAAAGACATGTCGCAGAATACATTTTGGCAGAAATTTATGACTAAATTTCATTTTTGCATTTTTTTTTTTACTGGACATGTTTTATAGCAAAGTCCAAAATATTTTTTTTTTTTTTCCTCAAAATTGTTTTTTTTTTTTTTTTTACAGCGCAAAAAATAAAAACCGCACAGGCGATCAAATACCCCCAAAAGAAAGCTCCATTTGTGAGGAAAAAAAGGATGTAAATTTAATTTACGTACCATATTGCATGACCGCGCAATTGTCTGTTAAACTAGCGCAGTGCTGTATAGCAGAAAACTGGCATAAATTGCAGTATTTATACCATAGTTTGTAGACGCTATAACTTCCACACAAAGCAATCAATATATACTTATTGGGATTTTTTTTTTTACCAAAAACATGTAGCAGAATACATTTTGTCCTAAATTTATAACCAACTTTGAGTTTACTATATATTTTTTATAGCTGAAAATAAAAAATATTGTTTTTCTTCAAAATTTTTGGCCTTTTTTTGTTTATAGCGTGAAAAATAAAAAGCACGCAGGTGATCAAATTACACCGAAAGAAAGCTCTGTTTGTGTGAAAAAAAGGACGTAATTCATTTGGGTGCAGCATTGCATGACCGCGCAATTATCGGTTGAATTAGTGCAGCGCCGAGTAGCAAAAAGAGGCCTGGTCATTAAGGGGGGGGGGGGGGTAAATCCTCAGGAGCTCAAGTAGTTAATAGTGGCCTGACTGTCTTGACTCAATACTTTTGAGTTGCTGACCCAGAATAAATACTTTATTTGGAACAGTGAACAGATTTTTGTACTTGTTCTGGCTCGATGGCCCCATTCACCCCTCAGCAATTTTCAGCTTGACACCCTAAAATGCTCAGTAGGGCAAATCTCATTCATTCATTTTTCTATGGCCCTAGTTCACATCTGAGCATCCTGTTGCCTGTAGCCATTCTCCTGTCACTCAAATTACATGAGCTTTTTTTGGCAGATTGAAGGCAGGTAGGGCCCCATGGACCTCAATGGAAATGTTTGAAACCGTGAGACACAAGCGTTTCACGAGCGTTTTGTTGAGCATTTTCTGCTCAAACAGCAGCTCTCCTCCATTGCTCCTTCCCCTCAGTGCTTTCTGTTGGCTAAACAAACAAACCCTGAAACTATGAAATGCTTGTAATACACTTCTAAAAGTGCTCAAAAAGAAACTTAAATGAGAGCGCCTGAAAAATGGCTTCACTCAGGCATGAATATAGCCTCAAAGTATTCAATCCTTTGGGTCAGTGGAAACCAGGAAAGTAGCATTTTCAAAAGGAGAGCTCAAATCTTACCTCAGCCTTCGGGTTTAATCTAGGAGAATTTACTAAATGAATATGTTGTGCTATTTTTTGCATACAATTGTGCATTTGTAAACATAACATTAAAATTTTACCATGTGCTGATGATGGGTTTTAAAATTTTGTCTAATTTTCTTTTCTTTTCTAATGCAGGTTTGAATGGAAATCTGGCAGACCTTGAAAGGAGGCAAGAAGTATTTGGAAAGAATATTATACCTCCTAAAAAGCCAAAAACGTTTCTTCAGTTAGTATGGGAAGCATTACAAGATGTAACTTTAATTATACTAGAAATAGCAGCCATAATATCTTTAGGCCTTTCTTTTTACCGACCTCCTGGTGGAGATGATGAAAGTAAGTACTTACTGCACTGAATAACTGGTCTTCCTATACCAGGCATATCTCTGCTTCCTTACTACCTTCATCCTGTTTAGAAACTGAGGCCTCTGCACATGGGCAGAGAAAATGCTACTGTTTGAGGCATCTGACATTTTTCTCTGGAAATAGCTCTAAGTTCTCTAATGTGCATATGCATACAGGTGTATTTTAGAGTGCTGTTCAGGGGCTCAAAAAATGCCCCAAGCTTGCTTTCAGGGTGCAGTTTATCAGCGTAACTTATGCCTATAAGTGAGTAATTTTATTCCAATGACCATAGTAAATTAATATTCTGACCAGTAAAATGCATTTATGCTCAATGCCACACATGATAAATATGCCTACATATGGGGCATTTGAGGCATTTTTTTTCTGCAAAGTTCTGACAGCAGAAATGCAGCATATTTGGAGCCTAAATTCATATGCCCATGTGCATGAGGCTTTAACCTGGAAGGCTATGCTTCTGTACATAATTTTACAGCTGAATGGTTGGTTTATAAAATTGTTTCACTGATGCTTTCTGGGCAGTAAAAAGTGTAAATTATTACTATAATACTAATTATCAAAGTAGTAATTTTTTTTAATTGCTGTGCTCTCAGTAATTCTAATAAGACCACATGCAAATGTGTTCCACTCTATTTACCCAATAAATTTGAGTTGCCTGTGCTAAAGTATGTGAGGTGAAGTTGCCAAAGGTATTAAACAAGCAATATTTTGAATGAGCATAAACATTTACTGCATGCGTTTACATGTGTAATCTGAAAGTATGTGTATCCAAATCCTTTTTTTTATTTTTTATTATAGCACATAGGATTTGGGTATTTAGAAACAATTGGATTTATACTTCCTTGTACAGGAGGGATTAGACACTGGCAAACCAAGTTGTTGGCCAGCCAGCCATAACTCTTCCCTGTCCATGCTTCAATTTTTTTTTTCCTGAAGTTTTTGCCCATTTTTTTTTTTTTTTTTTTTTTTTTTTTTGTAAGATCTTTTTGCTTCATTTAAAATTTAATGTGAATGCTGCAGAGTTAAGCCATTTATGTAGCTATCGGGATAATAATCAACAATGCTTTAAAAGGCCTTTCCTAGACCCTGCTGGATCAAAGATTGCAGGGGTTGCCTGGAATGTGACCTTTAGTCACTGGGCATTGCTTGTAGTGCTTTCCAGACTGTATACTATTGGCTGCAGTGTGCCTTCCAGGTTTAGAGCTGCGGAGACCCTGTCTCTTTAAGACCCCAGAGTTGTGGAAATTTTTGAAAAAATGACTTGTCCAGGGACTAAATCGGTGTCCCAATCTACTTGTCCTGATACAAAAAACATAAGTTTTAAACAAAACTGTATTTAAATCTGCTTTAAGTAATGTCGGGCTTTTAACAGCAAAAGGGGCTTTATGGCGACTTAAACGTTTAATATTTTTAACATTGCGCTGTTTATCTCCTCTTCCCCTCCATGCCGGCCGGTCTGTCTGTCTCCCCCAGCACTGCACCCGGGGACTAGCAGGGAGGGGAGAGACCTTGCAGTGTAGTGAGCACCGATTGGCTGCTTGTCAGGAAAGAGAGTGTCTGACTTATCTTTTATCCATTTCGCTGCCAGAGCTGTTTTTTTGTTGTTGTTTGCACCGTTTAAAAAAGAATTTTAAGGCCTGAAGTTGACACAAACCCCCCCAAACATTATATATTTTCTAAAATCTGAGATCCTAGAGAATAAAATAGCGGTAGTTCCAATTTTTTGTGTCACGATATCACAAGATTTCAGTAAAAAAATACACTTAAGTTAATTTTAGGGCAAAAAAAAAGCAATAAATTATCCAGTTTTTTGGGGGGAAAATCTAAAAGACGAGGTTTAGGCCCCTTATATGTCATCAGTATAGTGTACGGCGGAGGTCTGGTGCTAGAATGATTGCTCTCCTTGTGGCATGTGCTTCGATATGTAACGTGTATCGCAATCCACGTTTTCTTGTATAGGCGCCCGAGCATGTGCTTTTACGTTTGTGCGTACATATGTGGAGGTGGGGGGCCCTTGAAAAATTGGGGGGTTTTACATGCTTGGGTGTAACTTCAATTTAAAAAAAAATAAATTTCTTTTTCACTTATGGAACAAAAAGTGCCCTATTCAATGATTTTTGGTGACCGGTTCTCTTTTTTGAGACATGCAGGGTCTCTTTTTTTGAGACCCTGCATGTCTCCCCTGTACTACACTGAATGTAATGCGGTGCGCATTGCACAGCATTACATTCTTTCCCAGCCTCAATCACTGGGAATCTGTCGAACGGGGACGTCACACCACTTCCGGATCAGAAGGTGGGTAGGGGAGCAGATGTCCGCTCTCCTCCCTCCCCTATACCACATCCCGCGGCACCCACCGAACCAATCTGGGGCCCAGAGATGGGCAAGCGGAGCCCGGGACATACAGCGGGGGAGAGGCTGACACTGTTGGCTATGTGACAACAATCGAGCGGCAGCGCTGCTGCCCGAATGCTTCCACCTGACAGGTGGGGCAAAAAAAGACTACCTGCCCTGTGCCCGGAACTACATGTCCCAGTTGTTGGGCTGTAGGAATTGAACATCCCTGGACCCTGTAAGTATGCCCACAAACAGGGCAAAGTTAACCTGGAAAATGAGCTCAGGCATTAGACCTGGTGACTTTTTTGTAATTGGGCATGGATCAGCTTTGGCCCACCACAGTACCATAAATGGGAAAATGTAATTCCTTGCTAACTCATTCTAAAGATCACTAGCCTCCCGTTCTTTGGTTAACACTGCTGTGCCGGTATCTGTCATGGCTTCTCCTGTTCAGCAACCTGTTACTCTCTGGGATTTGAATCTGAATCTCTCAGCTCTTTGAACCTATCAGTGATATTCTCCTTTCTACTCTCATCCAAAAGGTTACCTTCCTTGTTGTCCTCACCTCTGTGAGGTGGGAGTCGGCAAGGCTGCTAGCTCAAACATTGTCATACCTGATAGTCCCCATAAAGGAAGCTTAGAGAAATCATTGCACTAGCTTATTGTATTAAAGGATAATTCCGAACATGTTTAATCTTAAAACTGCTTCCTTCCCCCTCCCGACACCTATACTAACCTGTGGAAGAAAGATTCTTGCCTATTTTCAGGCCGCTCCGGTGTTTTCACATAATGTCTCCTGAGGCTACAGGGCAGAGGAGAGAGCCCTTGACAATGGCTGAAATTCCTGAGCGATTGTCTCCTGTAGACTTACTCTGGCCCATTTCCACTGGGACAGGCAAAGCTTTGATGCTTTACAAGAACCAGTGACATGGAGAAGTAAGACAGGGTCACCCTGTTTTACACCCTTACTGTACCCCCTAACAAGTAGGAGACCTATATTATAGTCATTGCTTGCTATAGACTATTATGTGTATCTTGAATAGTATGTGTTTACACCTAATAGCTATTGGGGAAATGGGCAATGTGTTTTGGAATTTACTTTTACTGTGTAAATTTTAAATCACTCAGTTTGGTCTCCAGTGGATGACTAAGTGTTAGATTACACCACATGTTACACATTATACTGTTACTTTGGCCTACAGCAGGAGTCTCCAAACTTTCTAAACAAAGAGCCGGTTTTCTGTCCTTCAGACTTTAAGGGCTGTAGTGCCCAGTGGGAGTAGAAAATGTCCCAGCGTCAGTAGTTAGGGGAAAAAAATGACATGGTGCTTATAGTCAGTGGAAGGCGGAATAGTATCCAGTCATTGGTATTAGGTGAACTGTCAGTGGGAGGAATAGTGCCCCATCATTGCTGTCAGTAATAGTGCCCCATCATTGGTGTCAGTAATAGTGCCCCATCATTGGTGTCAGTGGGAGGAATAGTGCCCCATCATTGGTGTCAGTGGGAGGAATAGTGCCCCATCATTGGTGTCAGTGGGGGGGAGGAATAGTGCCCCATCATTGGTGTCAGTGGGAGGAATAGTGCCCCATCTTTGGTGTCAGTGGGGGAGGAATAGTGCCCCATCATTGCTGTCAGTGTCAGTGGAGGAATAGGGCCCCATCATTGCTGTCAGTGGGAGGAATAGGGCCCCATCATTGCTGTCAGTGGGAGGAATAGGGCCCCATCATCGGTGTCAGGGGGAGGAACAGTGCCCCATCATCGGTGTCAGGGGGAGGAACAGTGCCCCATCATCGGTGTCAGGGGGAGGAACAGTGCCCCATCATCGGTGTCAGGGGGAGGAACAGTGCCCCATCATCGGTGTCAGGGGAGGAACAGTGCCCCATCATCGGTGTCAGGGGAGGAACAGTGCCCCGTCATCGGTGTCAGGGGGAGGAACAGTGCCCCATCATCGGTGTCAGGGGAGGAACAGTTCCCCATCATCGGTGTCAGGGGGAGGAACAGTGCCCCATCATCGGTGTCAGGGGGAGGAACAGTGCCCCATCATCGTTGTCAGGGGGAGGAACAGTGCCCCATCATCGTTGTCAGGGGGAGGAACAGTGCCCCATCATCGGTGTCAGGGGGAGGAACAGTGCCCCATCATCGGTGTCAGGGGGAGGAACAGTGCCCCATCATCGGTGTCAGGGGGAGGAACAGTGCCCCATCATCGGTGTCAGGGGGAGGAACAGTGCCCCATCATCGGTGTCAGGGGGAGGAACAGTGCCCCATCATCTGTGTCAGGGGGAGGAACAGCGCCTCCTTGTTGGTAGGAGGAATAGTACCCTGAGGGTTGGATAGAGGCAAGCAAAGGGCCGCATTCGACCCACGGACTGCAGTTTGGAAACCACTGGCCTAGAGCATCTTATAGGATAATCTTGCGTTTAGTCCTGCCTTTTTGTCATGAGGGTTTGGCTACAGGACAGTCTGCATACAGGTTATGTACTCCCTCTCAGACACACTTATCCCAATTCTGCACCCTACTCCATTCTCGCAGGGGAAGACCATCACCCAGAAAACCAGATAATGGTTAAAACCAGGCTCACGGGAGCAACTGCAAATAGTCAGGTGAAAATTTGCTCTGCTTAAGGCACTTGATGATCATGCTTCCCTTGCATCACAGCAGGTCCCTATTTTAACACCACTCTCTGCATCCAAATCTAGCTCTCTGACGTGCAACAAGTGGCTTATCTAACAAAGGCAGACATTTCCTCAACTATTTCACCGTTTCTTGGACAGCCAATAGCTTTAATAAAGCCATCACTTTCAAATGCTTAAAAATGTAAGGCTCCTTCAACATGTCTACTGTTTATACCCAAGTTGGATCCCGATATGCCTGCCCAAGAAGAAGCATACATAGAAAGAAATGAATGGGACTCAGAAGTGGTGTTAGTGTCCATGGAAGACTTCCTTCCCCCAGGCTACTATATACCTGATATGACTTCTCACAGTATGCTTGCCAATGTAGATATGCTCACTTAAGAGCGTTGGATTGTGCTTGATTCTTTTCAGTCTCACCATGCCCCTTTTGGATACAAAGAGACCTGCATTCATGAACAAATATAATGGGCAATCTCTGACGCTTGGGTAAATCCAGAAAAGATTTTCACCCTTCTGAGGATCATTGCCGAGCTGTGTACAGTGGAAAAGAAATCACAAATATAAGGTCTGTTCTGGTAGTAGACCCTGCTGTCTCCTCAAATATCTTGTTGTACCAATTGAAGATTACAATTGGTACAAGATGGCAAACCTTAAAGTGCAAAAACTTGTATTTATTTTGTCTTAAGGATAGAGTAGGAATGGTTTAGAATATATAAGTGCAGCGCTAAAATTATAAAATCTATCCTACATGAGAAAAATTAACTGTTTGCAAAATTTTATAATAGAAACAAACTTTTTTTTTTTTTTTTTTTTTTGCTTATAGCACAAAAAATGAAACACCCTGGGCCGAGTAAATACCACCAAAAGAAGTTCTATTTGCGTAAAAAAGTTAAAAATTTCATATGGGTACAATGTTGCATGGCTGCGCAATTGTCATTCAAAGTGCGACAGTACTGAAAGCCGAAAATTGGCCTGGGCACGAAGGGGGTTTAAGTCCCCGTAGGCAAGTGGTTAAATCAATATTTAGGGTGGCCACCCTTTACTTTCAAAACCGCATCAATTATTTTAGGTACGTACAGTTTTTGAAGGAACTTGGCAGGTAGGTTGTTCTAAACATCTTGAGAACTAACCACAGATCCTCTGTGGGTGTTGGCTGCCTCAATCCTATGTCTTCATATAATGCCAGACAGACTCAATGATAATGAGGTCAGGTCTCTGTGGGAGCCCAACCATCACTTCCAGGACTCCTTGTTCTTTACACTGAAAATAGTTCTTCATGACATTGGCTGCATGTTTGAGGTAGTCATCCTTCAAATGACCAGATGGCCTCCCAGATGGTATGACATGCTGGATAAGTATCTGCCTGTAGTTTCAGCATTGAGGACACAATTGATCCTGACCAAATCGCCAACTCCATATACAGAAATGCAGCTCCACATTTGCAAGTAACCTCCACCATGCTTCACTGTTGCCTGCAGACACTCATTGTACCACTCTCCTCTCCCTTCGTGAGCAGACTGCCTCCTGCTACAGCCAAATATTTAAAATTTTGACTCCTCAGTCTGGAGCACCTGCTGCCATTTTTCTGCACCCCAGTTCCTATGTTTCCTTGCATAGGGCAAGGAAATGAGGCTAAGCAATTCAACTATGGCAGCAGGTGCCATGATGTTTGGAACAACCTACCTTCTGCTTTCCTGTGCAAAAACTGTGCAATTGTGGAAGAATTGATGTGTTGAAGGCAAAGAGTGGTTTTTAATTGTTACAGGTAATAGTACTGCTTGGACTTTGAAGAAGGGGACACTCCCCGAAAGCTTGTCCTCAAAATTGTATGTTAGTGCAAATAAAAAAAGTATCACGGACAGTACTCAATTGTAATTGATACAGATAAACTAATAACACTTCTATATATGAAAGCATTCTTCATTGACAGCATTTTTTTTTCGCTCGCCTAAGACTTTAGCACAGTACTGGGTACGTGTGTATGTGTGTATATATGTGTGTGTGTGTGTGTGTGTGTGTGTGTGTGTGTGTGTGTGTATGTGTATATATGTGTGTATGTGTGTGTGTGTGTGTATGTGTATATATATATATGTGTATGTGTGTGTATGTGTATGTGTGTATGTGTGTGTGTATGTGTGTATATATATGTATGTGTGTATATATATGTATGTATGTATATGTATATATGTGTGTATGTATGTATATGTATATATGTGTGTGTGTATGTATATGTATATATGTATGTGTGTGTGTATGTATATATGTATGTGTGTATGTATATGTATATATGTTGTGTATGTATATATATATGTATGTGTGTATGTATGTATATGTATATATATGTATGTGTGTATGTATGTATATGTATATATATATGTATGTGTGTATGTATGTGTATGTATATATATATATGTATGTGTGTATGTATATATATGTATGTGTGTATGTATGTATATGTATATATATATGTATGTGTGTATGTATGTATATGTATATATATATATGTATGTGTGTATGTATGTATATGTATATATATATGTATGTGTGTGTGTATATCTCATACTTTGTCCTATAATCCAGTGTAACTTTGCACTATTTGCTACAAAAATGGCAGACTCACTGGGTGGATTAGGTTTATAGGGGAACACCAGGGGTTGTCCTTCAAAACTTTGCCAGTGTCCATTCACTTGAAGGTACCAGCTTGTAACCCAGGATCTCTATGAATATTAAGCATGTGTCCTGTACTGTACCTAAAGAGATGAAATTTACAGGTAACGCAAATTTTTTTCTTTTTAGTTATATTTCTGTGTAGTCCCAGTTCAGTAAACGATCCTAATACTCAGTCTGCATCCAGTGTGCTGGGCTAAACTCCAGACAGGTACAAAAGATACAAACTAAATGCAGCTCTTTTATGCATCATAAAAAATATAATTAACTGTAAGCAGTGTAAGTACCTGAATTTGAATTTGGTATGGGCCTTCTGATGTCTGCTTAAGGAGCCAATTAGTTGTGCTACATTGTAAGGAATATGCAAAGGCAAGAAGAGCTAATCAGTGTGCTGCTACTTCTCTGGTACGTCAGTGTGAAAAGGAGGGTCGGTAAGTGATAGTGAAATTGCAGATAAGATCAGGTTACTTCTGCCAATTAGTATGGGCAGAAAAAAAATCTTTTTGGCAAGTGAAACAGGTCTTATGCATGTATTTTCTCTGTATACTTAGCTGTGTACCTGAAGGGCTGCGTCAATTGCTGCATTAATTGCTAATCTAATGTCATGTATTAGAATTATGGACACAGTAAGTGCTTGTTCTTCTATGATATGCACTATATTCCATGTTTTTTATTTAGACTGTACGATATGTAGTCTTTAATTCAGGTATGTGTGTACATATAGGTATATCACACAATATTTCTCCAGAATAAGGCAAAATATATTCTGATTTTATGTATCTTTACTATAACGTTTTCAAAGGGAAAGTCACTTTGGATACTTTTTTTTTTTTTCTTCCCCTTTCCTTTTTTGTAGTGCATGTTTTGCAGATATTTAAAAAGCTTGGTTTCCAAAGTCCATGACTGCTTAGGGTGTTTTTATTATTGTATGGTGGCTTGGGCTAGGCTCACACTGAAGCAGTGCAAGCTTCTCATTTACCGTGCAAATCCAGGAACACCTCCGGTGCAATTTTCATATAGTTGTATTTTTCCCTTAATGCGCTAGTAGAATCAGTCACGCTGTGACAGCGGGAGGAAAGTGCTGCCGATAACTGGCAACTGTATTTACTTGGTGATCTGCTGTGTCATTGGACACAGCTGATCACGTGGTAAAAGGCCGCTGTGATTGGCCTTTTACCTCACCACGTGATCAACTTTGTCTGTAGGACACAGCGATCACTGAGATCGCTGAGTGCGCGGGAGGGCGCCTTCTGGGAGGACGTCATGACATCCTCCCTGAACTGGGTAACTGCGCTGTAGCCGTCATTCGGCTATAAACAACAAAATATACACATATGTGGTATCACTGCTATAGTCAGGAGTTGGAGAATTTATTTTGGGGTTGTTTTTTTGGTGGTAAGTTATAATAGTAGCAAGAAATATGCAGCTACATTTAAATAGTTTTATTTTTTAATATTTTGGGCCAGTTTTCCTTTTCCTTTTGAGAATTAAAAAAAAAAAATAAATCAGGAGATATCCATTACCATTTACCACCAAATGAATTCCCAATTTGTCCTGAAAAAAGCAAGGCTGGATGCACAAAGTAATTGTGACAAGTACAGTTTTACTAACTCATGTGAAAGTTGCAAAATTGTGTTCAGGTATTAACATTTTATTTTACCCTCGGTCACTAAGGGGTCAATAGGTTTTTAAACTGACTGTTTTTCTCTGGAGGACCTCGCATATCCAGGCCTACTTTGATTTCCTGCAAATCATTGAATTTTTATGCTAGGGAAAGCCTTGTTTCTCCATTCTGTAATTGCTGTCTGCTCTGGTTGTTGCAGGTCTTATAGACCTCAGCATTACTACCAGCATCTCTATCCCACTCTCCTCTTTCCTGTTCACAAAACAGACAGCCCCAGGCTGAAGACACAACCGGAAGTGAGAGGGAGTGTATATAAAGTAAGGGAATTCCCCTTTCAGACAATTATAGCCAGAACAGGACTTCTCCTCTCTTCTTATTCCAGTGCACATTTGTGTAAGTCCTGGGGGCACTGATGATAGAGATGGCAAACTATTAAAAATGTTTTTATACATATGTAGATTTATTTCATTACACTGTGTGCACAATTGTTTTTCTCTTGGAATGTTAAAATAGTGCAAACTTGAGTTTTTTTTCCTTAAATATGTTACCATTTTTCTGTTTTCACTTTGCAGTGTGTGGAGAAGCCAGTGGTGCTGTGGAAGAAGAGGAAGGGGAGGCAGGCTGGATTGAAGGAGGTGCTATCCTTGTATCTGTTGTATGTGTGGTGTTAGTAACAGCTTTTAATGACTGGAGTAAAGAGAAACAGTTCCGAGGGTTGCAGAGCCGAATTGAACAAGAGCAAAAATTTACAGTTGTTCGGGGAGCCCAAGTTATTCAAATTCCAGTTGCTGATATAGTTGTTGGAGACATTGCACAAATAAAATATGGTAAATAAATCATAAATGATTATCAAAATCATGGAAATTCTTATTGTTTGTCTAGATCTTGACAGATGATCTGTGTTTTAGGTGATCTGTTGCCAGCTGACGGAGTACTAATTCAGGGAAACGATCTTAAAATTGATGAAAGTTCATTAACCGGAGAATCTGATCAGGTTAAGAAAAATCTGGATAAAGACCCTCTACTACTTTCTGGTTGGTATCCTTTGCCATTTGTTCCAAAACCGAATGTGCATTCTGGATTTTAAAGACCTCTCATATAAAATATTCTGAATTGTAATCTGTCTTTATTAATATAATAGATTATAATGTGTAAATGCTTTGTATTCTGCCCCCAGTCTTGAATTTAGCATAACGAAAAATTCTGTAGCGGGAAGATCAGCACCCACTTTGGCCTTTTGCATGTGAGATTCATGTCCAGCACACAGATTGGTAACATCTGTGCTACCTGGTAACATCCCTTACACAACACCACACAAACTGTGTGATCAGTGTCCATGTCCTTCTCGCAGACCATGGTTATCCCAAACAGATAATACAGACTCATCTACGCTTCATTATGAATGTTGAACCTCCAGCATCTAATGCCACCTCCTACCCCGCCACCCCCCCAGTCTTCATATGTGACAGTGCAGGTGTGTATAGGACACTCATTCACCTTTTGTATCCTGCCCCCAGCACACACCCCTCAACTACTAGTATCCATGCCAGCAGTGAGGCAAGCCCTCCAATACACACAATCCTCCAGCAGGGTATGTGATTTACCACTTCTGTAACCAGTCAGCAGTGAATGCACATTAACCCCTTCGTGATTGGCTTCCTCGGAATGAATGTTAATCTGTTGGTTACCTATTTCCAGCTTATCTGCAGTAACGCCCTAGTAACTATGTAGTTTGTGTATTAACCCTCAGTGACCTGCGTAGCCGCAGACTGGTCAGGGTGCCCATACTCACCCATGTCCATATCCAAAAGTGCCTACAATGGGCATGTGAGCATCAGAAATGGATCACGGAGCAATGGAACAAGGTGGCCTGGTCCAATGAATAGTGTCTTTTACACACTGTGGGTGGATGGGTGCATCTGCGAGAAGAAATGGCAGATGCAGTATGAGCAAGCCAGCAGAGGTAGTGTGATACTTTGGACAATTTTCTGGTAGAGAAAACCCTTGGTTCTCACATACACGTGGATGTTACTTTGACACATAGTACCTACCTAAACATTGTACACCCCTTTATGGAAGCTGTGTTCCCTGATGGCAGTGACCTCTTTCAGCAGGAAAATGTGCCCTGCCACACTGCAAAAATGGTTCAAGCATGGTTTTAAGGAACACAGCAAGTTTGAGGTGTTGACTTTGCCTCCAAATCTCAATCCATGGAGGCCTCTTCTTGCAGCTTATAAGATACCACAGCATACCTGCTTAGGTCTTGTGGCATCCATGCCTTGATGGATCAGGGCTCTTTTGGCGACAAAAGAGCTGATTGGTTTGCAAGAGGGGACCTACTCAATATAAGGTGAAAAATCAAAAGGTTATGGCTGATCAGTGTGTGCAATAATTCATCAGCGCCCTATCCTTTGCCTGTGTGCAGTAGCTCCTAAGCACCCATTCCCCAAACCTGAGTTTTCTTCAGTGCTCAGTCCCCAAGTTATCCAGATTGACCCCTTACCACAAGGGAGCCAGCACCTGTTTTGCTGCTTATGTGTATTAAGCTGTCATCTGCCAGTGCTCACTGTTTTTGAAGAAATCTCCATTTATCCATTTATGGCCAGCTCCTTCCTGGTTCTCTGTGCTAGTCCAGCGATGACGTCTGCACCGGATCTGTATGGAAAAAAAAAAAACTATGAATGGGCTTTTTTCCTGAGATTTCTCTTTTCATAAAATTTAAGTGCAAAGCTCATTCATTTTTTTTTTCCTTTCATAAATCTCGCAGTTTTTATGAGGTCCCCACAGCAGGCACTGTTGACTTAGCTTCCCAGAGAGCATCTGAGGCCCTGGTTCATTCACCAATGCCTCTGAAGACCAGCAAGTGCAATTTACTTTTCTGCATGTATCTGCCAAATTCCTTTTTCTAATATTGTAGTACAGGACACAGGCTTCTTTCAATCCTTATGACTGGGTTATATGCAGCTACCTTCAGTTGATTGGATGCTGGAAAAAATGCTCCTGGTACATCCCCATATAACCCCTCCCAGCTGACTTCAGTTTTTGCTAGTGTAATGTACCTCTTTCTATTGAGGGAAACTTACCTTCTTAAATGGAGTTTTTTTTTTTTTTTTTCTTTGTATGTATGTTTATTCCAAGCTGATTCTTTTCTCAGAAAATTGGCCGCCACCATAGTCACTGTTACTTTTCATGCAACTTTGCATCAATTTACTTCTGGGCAAAGCCTTGGTAGTGTACCTGGACTCTGCTGAATGGTCAGCCTGGCCTGTAATGTTGCTACCATGCCCTGGATCCTGCTATAGGTGCTTCCCTTGGCATGTAATGCAACACTTTGAGTAGCCACAGGGTGCATGACATGTCCAGGGCCTTGGTCTACCTGGTGCAGGTCCTGTCCCTAAAGACCCCACTGCGTGTAGGCCCATTGTGGAGGATGAAGCCAGAAAGGTGGTGTTCCTCTAATCCTGCATTTGATTGGTGAGTTGGGGGTAAGCTCTCTAAACATTCACATTCTAGGATGCGTTCATGAACCCCACAGAGGGCAGGGGCGAGCCACCAAACTGATTAAATGTTTTTTTTTTTTTTTTTTCTTCTAGAAACCAGATTATTGGCCTTCCTAGTTTTTAAAATTGGCAGCATTGGCTCAACCTTTGATCCAGTTGGAGGTGATAGTTCCTTTGTACAGGACCTAGTATTTTTTCTCCCAACACTGTATTATTTAGTAATTTGGTTGGTCTTCTAGTGGCTCCAGTCCCCATTTCCTATCTAGGGAGAAATGTTCTGCAATGTCAGATTTCATGGGCAGAATTTCTGTCTTTATACACAGCAGCCACAACTGTGACCCTCCTGCCTCCTCATCACTCAGTGTTTGCTTTTGCCATTGATACAGACATCCGATAGTCCCTTGAAGAAGTGTTCGCTATTGAGAAGGTGGATACTTCTTCCTTTGAGTCACCGGTTTTGGAAAACACACCTACTACTGAGAACAACCAAGTTAAAGGATACTAGAGCTTCCCTATTTACACTGTTTGCTTTTGCTTAGATTGGCTCAGGAGCAGCCAAAGTCTGCTCACCCAAAAGTGTCCAGCATTGATGGTAGTAGGAATTCTTTAAACCAGCCAAGACCTTTATGGTTCATTTACTGTTAGAGCTTGTCCTATATGGGGCTGGTCTCATGGATACATTTTTTTTTTTTTTTATTATTATTATTATTATTATTATTATTACTACGAGTTTATATAGAGGGTTTGCTCAGCGCTGTACAATAGGGGGGGAACAATCATGGCACAGTACAACAAAGACAGACAGCGTACGAGGGGTAAGAGGGCTACTCTTACGAGCTTACAACTAGGCTTCCTGATGAGATGGGTTTTGAGGGGGGAGGCTGAATGTGAATAGAGAAGGCGACAGTCTGATGGATTCTGCAATGTCAGTCGTGCATTTGTGAGGAGCGAAGGGTACGGGTAGGGTGGTACCTGGTGATCAGATTTTGGTGAGGTTAGTTCAGGGGGCTCAGTGTTGTCTTTGTAGGTCTGGGTAAGGAGTTTAAATTGATGCCTTGGGCAATCGGGAGCCAGTGGGGAGAGGCAGAGGGGGGGTGGCGAGGTGGATATGAGGGGTGGTACCCTCCTGGCCAGCTGAGTTCAGGATGGTCTGGAGCGGGGGAGGTAGAGCTGTTTGATGGGGTAGGCCAGTGAGGAGGGAGTTGCAGTAGTCAAGGCGTGAGATGATGAGGGGGGGTGTACTAGAAGTTTGGGTGGTGTCTGGGGTGAGGAAGGAGCGGATCTTGGCAAGGTTTAGATGGAGCCTGCATGTGAGTGATTTGACATGCGGTTGGAGGGAGAGGTTGCGGTCAAGATGACGCCAAGGACTTGGCTTGCGGGGCGGAAGTGATTGTGGAGTTGTTGGTGATGATTGGGGATGGGGATGGGGGGGGGGGTTGTGGGCAGGGGGAAAGACGCAGAAGCTCGGTTTAGGGGGAGAGGTTAATTTGAGGGAAATGTAGCGACATCCAGTCTGAGGATGTATTTAGGTGTGAGTGGGTGTGATGCGGGGGTGAGGTGAGGGGTGGGAGAGGTAGATTTGGGTGTCGTCAGAATAGAGGTGATAGTTGTAAGCCGTGAGATTGTATGAGTTTGCCCAGGGAGGCAGGTGAGATGGAGAAGAGACAGGGGGTCCAAGGGACAGAGGCCTTGGGGGACCCCAACAGAGAGAGGGGGGGGGAGGGGGGAGGGGTGGCACCATTGTTAGGTGACACTGAAGGAGCGTCGGGATAGGTAGGATGAGAACCAAGAGAGCAGCCCTGCCAAGGGAGAGTAGTTTATTAGGGAGGTGGTCACTGTGTCGAAGGCCGCAGAGAGAGAGGTCCAGGAGAAGGAGGCAGAGTAAGTTTGGCTTTGGCGTTGGTAGGTGTTAGTGATTTTGAGGAGGGCAGGTTTCAGTGGAGGAGGGGACGGAGGAAAGCCGGACTGTAGAGGGCAAGGAGGTTATTGTCAGTAAGGTGGGAAGCTTAGGATTGTCAGGGATCGTAGACTAAGCGTTCAAGGGAGCATTGGAGGTGAGTGGGGCAGCAGGGAGATGGGTCTGATGGTTGTTGTTGGGGTCCGCCTTTCCAGGGAGGGCTTTTTTGAGGATGGGGGTGATATGCGCGTGCTTTAGGGGGGAGGGGAATACGCCAGTAGAGAGGGAGAGATTGAAGATGTGGGTGAGGGAGCGGATGAGTGAAGAGGGGGGGGTGACCAGAGGAGTTGAGGGGGATAGGGTCCAGGGGGGCAGTGTAGTGAGGCGGGCTTTTGAGGGGACTTTGGCGACTTCCTCAGTAGTGACAGGGCTGAGGGAGTGCAGTGCAGGGGGGGTTATGGTGGGCGGGGCATTGGGAGAGGAGGGGGGCAGTGCGGTTGTGAGGGCAGAGGAGGGGGGAGATGAAGGGGTGACGGGGGCGAGGAGAGAGGCTGGTGGGGAGGTAGATTGCAAGTTGACGATGTCCTTACGGATAGCGTCAATCTTGTTGTGGAAATGGGTGGCAATTTCGTGGGCGGTGAGAGAGAGTACTGAGTGGGAGGAGGGGGGGGGGAGAGCAGGGAGTTGAAGGTGGAGAAGAGTCGTCGGGGGGCAGGAGGAAGAGGGTGTTTATTAGGTTAACAAAGTAGGCCTGCTTGGCGGCGTGGAGGGAGGACAGTGTAGGAGGTTTTACAGTATCCTATTGAGAAGTTTCTTTTGTAAGTATGCACTTTCTGTGGTGGATACTTCCATCTCCTGCTCTAATAAAATCCTCGACAATGCCATGTTCAAGGACCTGGAAGATGAGAGATTAGAGCTCTTTTTCAGGCTCTGACATGTAACCCACATGTGCGACTATGTCATTCTTCCAGACCTTTGCTGTCTAGATGCCATCCATTCATCCATCAGCTTTGTGCTACTACCTGAATGCCTGGGCAGATACTTTGCCACTTCTCTTTAACCACGTAGGCAGAATCCCTGGCTTAAAGTGGTTTTAAAGCCTTAAGGTTTTTACGTTAATGCATTCCTGTGTCCAGGTCCCCCCCCCTACTCTGAGCCCAATCTCAATCCAGCATTTTGCACAAGAGGCCTCTTCTCACAGAACAGATTGTTAGCAGCTGGAGCTATTGGCTTTTGCTGTCAAAAAAATCCTATGATGAGGGGGGGCGTCAATCAAAGCCCAGCTGTCTGTCAGTGAACTGAGCCTGCACATGTACACTCTCCCCTTCCCAGCAAACTGTTTGCTGTGCGTGGTAATTGGAAGTGAGAAGGAGGAGCCAAGAATGCTGGCAGGGAACCCCAGAAGAGGAAGAGCGGGGCTGCTTTGTGCAAAACTATTGCACAGAGCAGGTAAAGAACACATAAAATCAACGTTTAGAATCACTTTAAATGCTGGTTGACTGAGCTTACATGTATGAAACAGCTTGAGTGGTTACACATTTTGTGGTCCTTCCCAGCATAAGCCCATCAAGGAGATCACAGTGGGTAAGCATACTCCTTCCTCCAGAAGAAAAGGACCCCCACGCCTCTGCAAGAAGGTCTTCAATGCATGAGGTTAAAATCTTTTTATCCCTCTGTCCCCCAATGTTGAGTCTTAAAACAGAAATGTACTTTTGAAGATGACATGGTGAAGTCTGGAGCCAATACCTCTTCAGTGATGGGACGCCGCGACTTCTTGGTGTGAAGGATGTCTCTTAGCCTTATATCAACAGATTTCAGGCCCTATATCATTTCCCAGTGCTACAAATTAAGAGTTTTACAGTTTGCTGGCACCTTGCTTTGTGCTTTCAAACTTGTCCAGTTCACCGTCATAAAGGGTAGGCCTCTGAACTGCTGTCCAGCAGCTATTGTCTCAAGGGGTCATCTTCCTTGTACCAGGAAAGATGCCTTCGGAAATTTATGGTCTGAAAGACAATTGGAGAGCCCTGGCTCATTTTAGATCTTTAAAGTGGCACTGCATCTGAACACCACAAACCAAAAATGCTATAATTCATTAATATTCAAGCAAACTCCCCCACCCATCTGCATGCTTTATTTTGCTGAGAAATCATTTGGAAAAAGAAAACCCTGGCATTTCTGGCAGTGGCTATCTTGAGGCAGATGATTCATGTAGCATTTGCTTCCTGGAATCCATCTGCCCTTATCGCAGGCATTGGCTGAGCTGCGAATGCTCCCTCCCCTCCTGAAGACTCCTGGGATGTATGCTCTCATATGCCTGGGCATGGAAACCAGGAAGTAACTGTAATGTTAAAAAAAAAAAAAAAAAAAAAAAAAAAAAAGTTTAAACAAGTGAATATGTTCTTTCCTATCCATTTGCTAATGCTAGCATCATGAAGCTTAAAAATGGTATATGCTGATTTGAGAGAGTGAAGTTCCACTTTAACGATTGTCAACCTGTTTCTGCAGGTTCAGAATTTTCCATGAAAAATGCAAGGCCTTCATCTGGCATCTATAGATATCAGAGATGCTTAGCTGCACATTTCTGCTTTTCTGCAACACCAGTGCCATTTGATTTGTGGTTGGCGCCCAGAGTTACCAATTTCCCCCCCATTTGGTCTGTTCGTGGCATCTTGGGTTTTCACCAAGGCCTTTGCTCTGATTTTGACTACTCTTTACACGTAGGGGATCCATGTAGTAGGTACCCAGACTTTCATCTTCTGAAAAAAACCAGTCTTCCCAGTCCATGACATTTGACATCCACCAAACAGTACAAATTCCATTGAGCTTCAGGGGGATCCTCACCTTGGACTAATAATCAGTCATCGCTGGACCCACTCACTGATTGAAGCATCTGGGCTTGACTCTAGATACCTAACAGTGTGGGATAAACAGACTTGGTCATTGGTTTCAAAAACCTCCGACTTGTCCTCACTCTTTAGTGAAGGCATTTACTAGTGAAGGCATGTGGGTGCAGCCCACATCCCTTTTTTTTTGTCAGATTTTCCAATGGGACTTCAGTCTGACTTTCTTGGCTCTGCATAGTCCAACCTTTGCATTTATTGGATATTCCTATGTCTGACTGTACCTGTAGGGTGGCCATTCTTATCACATCTGCAAGGAGAGACTGAGTTAGTAGGCTTATTTTGTAAGAAAACCTTTTAGGCCTACTTTTTCCCCACAGAGGCCTCTGCTTTTCATCTCATTTTGAAAGGAGTTGATCACTAGGTTGACTTCTTGAACAGAAATGGCTGAAGATTGATTGAAACTTGTTTGGTCTCTTCCTAACCAGGCAAATTGCGATCCATCTCTGGCCAGCTTAAAAGAAGCTGGTGTTCTGTACTGTACTCCAGGAAACAGATTTTACTGAAAATATCCCAAAACAAACAAGTTTGTGGTTTTTTTTTTTTTCCCCTCAACTTGCAAACATAGCTAATTTTATTTTCAGCATACAGAGATGCATGCACCATTGATTTTCACTGCTTGGAAGTGTATTTACTCTTTAATGCCCCCTGCCGAGCAGCACACATTTATTTCTGTTTCTCTGTTGCTTCCCTTTGGCTTCAGGGTACAAGAAAAGGAAGTCCTGTGTAAGCTCAAAGTTGCATTAGTCAGAGCTTACATAGGGCTTTGGACACTTGCCCTGATATGACCACATTGGACCAGGCGTAATAGGAAGGGGAGTGAATCACATGCTTCTTCATAATTGGAAATACTGGGTATTTTCTTCAATCCTGGCAGCTGAATGAAATAGTGTGTGGGGGGTGAAGGAGAGATGATTAAGTGCTGCTTGTGGGGGAATTGGAGTAAGCACATAACTTTATTGCATTATGCTTTATAGGGTCATCCTTAACTCACTACTGCCTAACTGCTGGGATTTTTTTTTTCCTTGATCCCTTGTTCCGGTTTTTTGTCTGTATTTTCCCATAAAATTTCTTCACAGTGAATTTTAAGCTAAATTTAAAATCTTGTTTAATGTAATGTTTACATGATTTTCATAGGAACCCATGTAATGGAGGGCTCGGGAAAAATGGTCGTGACTGCAATTGGAGTGAATTCCCAAACTGGAATTATTTTTACTTTACTTGGAGCTGGAGAAAATGAAGAAGAGAAAGAAAAAAAGGAAAAGAAAAGTATGTTTGAATGTTTTGTAACAAAATTGGCATTAGAACAATCAGTAGATTAATAAATTAAAATATCATTGCAATGTTGGACACTTTTCAATTATGATGGTGTTTGCCAACAAAAACCCAAGATGTTGGACCAAATTATGCATATACCATATGGGGCTAATCCCCCTGGAAGCTGCACTAGTAGACAATTAGTGATTTCTCTCTTCTGGGTCCCACCCTGAAGCTTACTGAACAGAGGAGGACATAAGCTTGAGAGAATGCTTTGCCCCTCAACTTCATCCAGTCAGAGAATGCTTTTTCTCTGGTGCTCATGCCAGGTGGGTGACCTCCTTTCTTCAGTAAGCAGAAATGCAAATGCTTGGCATGGGACTCGGGAGTTAGTGAAAATTGCTTCCATGGCGATCAGCAAAGTGTGATATATGCACAGTTACATGGGTCTAAACTGGATCACTATATGTATAAAAAAAAAAAAGTTCATACCTGTAATTTTATCTTTAACTCATGCAATGCAAAAAAAGAGTGCTTTCTTGGGAACATTCAGTCATCTGCACACTTCTATTGCATTACAAATTGTTGTCATTACTTGATCTTTTCTTGTGATGGGTGGTGACGAGTGGATAGAGCTTGGCACGCAGAATAACAGAGCTGCTGTCCATGATATGTATCTGTGGGGTTGTGCACATCATACATTTCTATGCATGCCTATCTCTGTCCTTTTATTCCTGCCCACTTGTAGCAGGTGATATATGTTTGCTAGGAAATGTAACACAGTGGACTTGACACATTTCTGTTAAAAAGGCTTGTTAAGTTGTAGTAACTAGCATTTTTTAAATGCACTGCAGTTTTCTGTTTTTAGATGTGAATGTTTGTTTTGTTTCTAGTTTGCTTGGAAATGAACAACCCATTCACACCTGCAAACCTTGATCAACGCACATCTGGTTTGCGTTGTGTGGCAGAATGCTTATATGCCATCAGTTTACTTTTTTCACAGAACTTTAGTGAAATTATTATACAGTATTTATAAAGCGCCAATAGTTCGCTCAGCGCTGTATATTACAAAGGGGGACAGAACATGTGACAGTACAATAACAATACAATGCAAAACATGAGGGGATTGAGGGCACTTATGACATTTTTGAAGATTTCTGTTTTACCCATCAAATCTGCTGTGAACAGGACCTAATTGTTGCGGTTTTTGAAATGGTATGCACAAATAAGATTCCTTTTATCTTTTGAGAATTGGTAATGCACGTGTAAGAACTAATTTCATAGTTCTTTAAAATACACACAGCGGGTACCTGGAATAAAGCATCTCTACTTCAGATGTATGCAATGCACACAGATGTAATTTCTCATGAAAGGTCTCTGTTAGTAGCATATGAGGAATGTTGACATTGGATTTTTTTAAGTCCTACAGAGTGTCCTTTTGGCAGTAGAATGTTGCCATGGTGATAAGTGACTTAAAATTGAGAGCATTATTTGACAGATGCCTGCTCTGCGTTAGATTCTTGACCGTGGCTCATATTTTAGAATGATTGTGATTTAGCTTGTTATCAAAGCATAATTGGTTCCGAGTGGGCACACAGTTATCCATTTTTATGGACAGATGGCACCAAAAGAGTGTTCTAATATATTAAAACAATTAATTTTGGTAATGACGTTACCACACCTGTCATTTTGTTAAATGGAGAAAAAAATGCAGTTTGGTTTTATTTAGATTTCTTTGTAAGTTTTCTCTAGTACTGGTTACATGACACCAAACACTTTGTGGGACCATGTACTTCTTTTGACTGCCTAGTCATTTTTTTTTTTGTTACATTTTGTCAACTCAAAACTGAGAACAGTACATGTCATCTGCATGAAGTGTTAATCTAATTTGATTATCCTTGTTTACCCTTCTGACTATAGAGGTTTTCTGTAAATAATCTGCAAGGGATATGTATGTTGGCACCCAGGCGTGGTCGCATGCAAAACAAATCCGACATGCCACTTTCTCTGAAGCTGAGCGATTGACTTCAGTTCAACGGGCCTGCTCATAGATGGGTCGAATCTTGACTGGTCCCTTCTGAACAGGCCAAGGATCAATCAGTCTATGGCAAGCCCTGTAGTATAGCGCAGTCACCCCAGAGTTAAAGTAGAACTAAAGGCAAAAATCTTTTTTTTTCTTCCATTTTGGATAAATTAAGGGGGGGGCTTAAAACCCCCTGTCAATTTTTTTTTTGCCATGTCTCCTTGTGGAGATTTCCCCCACTTCCTGTCCCATAGCCAAAACAGGAAGTGAGGAAGCTATGTACATTGGAAGATTTCACCCCATTACTGTTCTGATAACCCAAAATTTGGGATTTTCTTTTTACCTTCAGTGATAATGGTAAAAAGGACAAATAGAGAATGTGAATCTTCATAATGGGGGCACAAACTGCAATAAAAAAACTTACATGGAATCCAATTCATCTCCTCTATCCAAAATGAAAATAAAATTCTGCCTTTAGTCATACTAAGTTTATGGTGCCTGCATGTATGATCAAAAGGCTTACTGAAACAAGCTTGCAGGCACTACAAACACACAAACGGACGTGTTATTGGTAAGCACCCAGCATGTAAAACTGTTTGTGGGGTTTTTTTTTTTGTTTTTTTTTTTATAGTACCTCCAGCTCAATTTAGTAAACCTTTCAATAATGCAAGCACTTTGGGCACTTCTTTGTGTATATTAAGCCAAGCTCCACATTCTGATAGAATGGGGTGAAACTGATTTTCTATTGAAAGCATTTTATTACCTTAGTTGACAATAGGGAAAGCAAGTGGTCACCTAAAAGACATACATGTTTTGTAAAATATTCTGTGGCTGCTTTGCCATTCTTAGGGATCACATGATTAAACAGCTTGGCTTTCACTGGCCACTGCTGTGGGATCATGGTTGTCCACTGACAATTTCAAGTCTGCTTTGGTCTATGAACTGCAAACAAAATTTCTCATGTGAAATCTAACTCTGTCCATGACTTTGAGCATCAGATTAATGCTTATTTAACTTTATTGGAATCCACAGAGGACAAACTATAAAGTAAATTTCCTCATCCTTTTAACTGTGTTTTTTTTTTTTTTTTTTTTTTTTTTTTTAGAATGGTACATAACTCTTTCAAGCAGTTCAGGGTTTGTATGACATTCCAAATAGAGACTAAAACTGCTAGTAAAAGGTTCTATTTCTGATTAGGTCCTTGTTAATTTAATACGTTACATAAAATATACAGGGAACATTTACTGACAAAAAATTAGGGATGCATTTAGAAGCAAATCAGTCTTTCTTTCCCTTAGCAAAGTCTTTGCGACTGGTTTGCAGTGTATTTGCAACCCCTGTGACTGTCCTCCTGGGCAGCCAACTGACACATGTGCAGAGTCGATCACAGATTTGTGAAAATGCAGATTTTATCTCTAAGCCCATGCACAATTAAGTGGTCATGTAGCCCACCTTATTTGAAAGCAACTTCATGTGTTTGTCAGCACAAAGCTTAAGCCCTGGTTCACATACCTAGTTTTCCCCTCAGCCCCCCCCTCCCCCCCCCCCCGACTTCTCCATCACGACCAACAACGCCACCATCAGTCCCACCCCGCAAGCCAGAGTACTAGGTGTCATCCTAGACTCCAGTCTGTCCTTCCAGCCCCAGGTCCAATCACGGACAAACTCATGTAGACTTCACCTCCGCAACATCTCCAAAATACGTCCGTTCCTAACACCGGAAACTACTAAGTAACTCTCATTCACTCCCTTATGTCACGACTTGACTACTGTAACTCCCTCCTCACTGGCCTACCTCATCACAGGCTATCCCCGCTTCATTCTATCCTGAATACTGCGGCCAGACTCATCCACCTTACTAACCGCTCCGTATCTGCCACCCCCCTCTGCCAATCCCTCCACTGGCTTCCGATAGCATTTTGAATTTTATCCGTTGGGCAAACATTTGACGTACAAAGCTGCACATTATACTGCCCCAAACTACATCACCGATCTGGTATCCAAATACCACCCAAAATGTACTCTCCGCTCCTCACAAGACCTCCTACTCTCTAGTTCCCTGGTCTCCTCCTCCCATGCCCATCTCCAGGACTTCTCCAGGGCTTCCCCCATCCTCTGGAACTCCCTACCCCAATCCATCAGACTATCACCTACTCTCCTCACCTTTAGGCGCACCCTGAAAACCCATCTCTTCAGGGAAGCCTACCCTGCCCTCAGCTAATTGCCAATCTCCTCTACTCTTCCTACCACTCCATCCCCCACAGCTATTTCCTCCTGTACCACTATCCCCTCCTTCCTAGATTGTAAGCTCCAATGAGCAGGGCCCTCGAACCCCTCGTGTATTGAATTGTATTGTTACTGTAATGTCTCGTGTACTGCCTCCCATTATAATGTACAGTGCTGAGCAAACTGTTGGCGCTATATAAATCCTGTATAATAATATACAGTATATGCAAATTGAATGCATTTTGAACCGCATTCGATTCCCATAATATATGAACTGGCACCATTTTTTTTTTTTTTTTTTAATGGAGCCGGTTCATATGTGCTGGTCAGCCACAGTGGAATTTCTAGAAGGGTCAGCTTTGATTTTTCAGGTCCGTTAAGGTGCAATTTCCAATGTATTACACTTTAAGAATTTGCATTGGGATCACCTAAACTGCACAAGACGGGGTTAAAATTGCACTGTCAAAACTGACTTGCACATATGTGAACCCGGGCTCCAGCCTTTGACAGAACATGTATTGCCACCCCTTGCAAGGAGAGTTGGTTGTTTGGGTCCTCTAACCTCACCTTGATTGTTTAATTCTGGTAATGTACCATCCTTGCTATGATAGCCAAGGGGAGAAATGCAGTATGGAGGGGGGTTGAGTGGTGAGAAAAAGTGGAGGAAGGCACAACTGGCAATTTTCTGAATTGTGAATGTCCTCATTACACCAAACAACCCCACTTCCCCAGTCATCCCGCAGAACAGGTATTGAGGGAATTA